TTCCCACCGCAATTCCCGTCGCGGCAAATCGTCATCAACAACTTCTTCTGCTACAACCAAACTTGGAAAGTTGTTGCTCATTTTCCAACTCTATCTGCAACTCTTGTAATGCTCTTCATGAGTTCAAGGTTTAATAAGCTAGCCGCCCAATTGATACTATTTGAATTTTGATGGAAAAAAAGAAGAGAAAAAAAAAGACAAGTATATAAAAAAAATAGAATGATATTTGTTGGGAATAATAAGTCTAAGTTTGGCCCACACATTTTCATAAAGACGCGTAAATAGGAAACAATATTACTTTCTATGCGTGTCTGTGTGAAGGGTGGAGGCAAACTTGAGGTCACTCTTGGTCTTGGAATGCCTCTAGCATTATTCACAAATCAATAACATATTTGGTCTGAACTTCTCATTGATGTGCGTAGCGAGTGAATAGTATCACTCTATGTGCGTGTTTGTGCGAAAGATGAATCGAGACAAACTTGTAGTCATTCTTGGTTTGGTTTTGGAGTGTTTCAAGCACTGTTTGTAAGTCGAATAACACCCACAATGTATGTACAACTTATCGAGCTATTACTAATTGTATATGTTAGGGTAGCGTCTATAGTGAAAAGTTTTTCAAAGTTAAAATCGAGAAAAAACACATTTTTGTTTGACGATATCTCGAGAAAGCTAAGATTCAATGGGTTAACGATTCTGGCTTGCAATCCAAGACCAAAACAAGAGCACAACCCAAAATAAATATGAAGACAATTTCAATAAGAATAAATTGACGAGAAAATGTGGTTTAAGTATTATTGGGGAGTAGTTTTTCTTTGAACTTTAACATGATTTCATTGTCATTGCAAAGGTTTCTTGTGATAGGGAATGTTTGCTATGCTTCGTTTTTGTGAAATCTTACTTTAATATATTTATACTGGAAAATGGTCGCATATGATCAAAATATTCTCTGCTCTATACAGGTTGCAAATGTCAAATTTTTACAATGTTCACACTTTCTTACTTTGAACATGTGATTGATTCATAGGAATCTTATTAGATTTCTCTAGATATAAACCCCCAAAATGGACTACAAAGCCAAAAATTAACTTGGGAGTGCAATTGAAGGGGGTGGCAGGGTGTTTTCGGGTCGGGGTGGTGTTCACGAGAGGATTAGAGAGGGTACGAACCGTCAATTTTACGAACGGGGCACCGTAGCGGCCCTGGGTCATCCCATGACATTGGATTCTAATGTTATGGGAATCTCTCCGTATTATTTATTTAAGAGTTGAGTAAATCCCATGATTGGTCTTTGATAACAAAGAGTTTTTCCTATTTAGTCCTCTATAATCAAATATTACCCATGTAGTCCTTTTTCGAGGATAATATTTGATAATAGAAAGCTAAATAAAAAAACCTCTTGTTATCAAAGACTAGTTATGGAATTTACTCTTTACTAAAGAATTGGCATTTTATATTGTGGTAGATACTTAGAACAAACAAGAATAACAATAACAAACAAACAAATCGAATAAAATCCCATAGAAGTAGGGTATGAAGACAATGTGTGCACGCAGACCTTACCCTTATTTAGATTCTCAAGAATGCTAAGAACCCACTAAGGGTGGTGCTCCCACGGATGACAATCACGGATGATTTATACATACACAGACGATCGTAAAACGATTAACCAAAAACATACATGCAAATATTGCAATAACAACGCCCTACATTATGATTAATCGTATCCTAGTACTCGACAAAACATGCACGGAGTACATGTAAAAAGATATATATGAACCATTATATCAACTGATTTTCTTAATACATAATACTTGGGAAATTAAACTTTGTCCCATATTTTATCTTTATGAGGCATAAGAGCTAAATAAAACATAGGTTGAATACTACAGAAGAACAATAAAGAAGAGAAGAAGAAGAAGCTGCGCAAGGAACAAGAAAACAGTCAAGAGCATTTACCAGAGTATGCTAAAGTCTTTTTTGTACAAGCAGGTGGCTGGGCAGCAGCAAAGATCATAGGGACAAGAATGTCCAAGAATGTTATTAACATTTGAAACCACCGCAAGAGATGAGCCAGACGATCATAATCAGAAGAACGACAGCTCCTCCCACCATTAACTTCATTTGAAGGCTCTGCAGCCACATCTTCCGGCGGAGTTGCCTTCCCTGCCTCTGAAAGCTGTCAGCCTGTGGAGTTGTGTTTTTGCGGGGTCACCTTAAAGTTGTGAACTTGGTGGACAATATGGTAGGGGTATTAATAAAATGTGAAAGATTTGCTTACCTGAAACTGAAGGCTTTCTGTTTTATCGACTAGCAGTTCAATCCTCTCGCCCCTGTCCAAAACCTGATGCAGAACAAAATCAGTTTAGAGATGGTTTAATTTTTTCATGATTCTAAAAAGATTGATGGCCTGATTAGGAGACCATCTGGTAAGGGTAAATTTCAAAGAAGATGCTGAATTTCTTGAGCCTTTAATGGTGGTTGATACTTGATACTACTGAATTGGATGAACCAGCTGAAATATAGAAAAATTTATCAAAACTATTTTTTTTCTTAAAAAAATAAATAAAATCATATAAAAAAGGGAGAAGTATAATTTTAACCAGTTTAGAAATTTCAAAAAAATAATAATACATAAAGCACTACTTTTTTCAAAATCAAAAGTTCTACAACCGGGTTAATAAGTTAATGTTTTGTAAAATATCTTGAAGATAAAGCTCGGCGGGAATAAAAAAAGTAGCACCAAACCAACAAATCAGTTACTATTGGAAGCTAAACAACAACAATAGCAGGAGACTAATTTCCAATATCACTCCAGTGCAGAGCAATTACATATAGTTTTTGAAACAACTAAACTATCAGTTTCAGGCTTTCAGCACACGCCCTACTATTCTGGGACCTCACTACTAACAGCGCCCAATTTCCATCAATACGTGCATTTTAACATTGACTAGTATAGGAAGATAGGACAACATTAAGGCATGCCTCAAAATCTGTGTTTCAACATTTTCAAACAAAAGATCCAGATAGATTACGCTAAGTTATTTGTGTTGAAGTTGTTCAGTCCAAAACGGGTATTCACACATGCCAATAATGTATATACTCAAACTCTTGCAAAAAAACTGGACTGATGAATTGAAAATCAGTTGACACTCCTGTGGGTCCTAATATTAAACTCATAAGTCATATCTTATCACGGAGAGACATGCCTAGAGTCTCAGATCCAGAAAAGTATCAGAGCACTTGGTGAGCAAGCTAAATTATCTTACCACAACCAAACCAGATATAACCTTTGCAATCAGTGTGTTGAGTCAATTTCTTAATTCTCGTAGTAAATGCCATTGGAATGCAATGATATGTGCTTTAAAATATCTTAAAGGATGTCCTGGAAAAGGATGGTTGAAAGTGAAATATAGCCTAGGCTGTCTCACATATTGCAGAATAAATTCTATGAAGTAAATTTCTGCAACCAAGTAGCTCTACATATTGCCTCAAACCCTATTTTTTTTACGGAAGAACTAAGCATATAAAGGTTGGTGGTCATTTCATCAGAGATATTATCATTCCAAATAAATCAGTACATAGTTTGTCACGTCTATTGATACTTGTAGATATCTTCACCAAGTCTTTATAAAGGCCTCAAACAATCTACAATTGGGACAAGCTCGATGCTTATGATTATGGAGAGTGTTGAAAATGAAATATACACTAAATTACGAAAGACTTGATTTTTAAAGTATGTTTAGGACTTGGTTTTCATTTTGTTTCTTGTCTTTCAACTCCATACAGCTTCTTCAGTTTGTTCACCATGTAGAGCAGCTTCCTCAACTTCAGTGGTTTTCTTTCTTGTGAACTGTCCTCTATAGATCTCTATAGATACATTGTATCTAAGGAGATATCCTTATGCTATTTCTATCTAATATTGAAGCTATTTTCAACTTTCGAGTCAAGTGATTCTAGAAATGCAGTGTAAAGAAAGAACTGAGTGAGGATGATTCAAACATTTCTCTTGAGCCAATGGTCTTTTTGAAAGTCTCTTGGGTATGGGTAAGATCTGTGTACACCAACCCTCTTTAAACTCACATGTGGAACCTTACTTCATTGTTGTAGTTGGATAATTCCAACATTGCACCACAAAAATGCATCAGCCATCAAGTATTGACCAAAGGAATGCATTAAGTGCATTAATATTTTATCTCGCATTCACGTTTATAATGTTATTGAATTGATTGAAGGAGATAGCTCTGTTAAATATATTTATAATTTGACGAGAAGAAAAGCATGTTGAAGATATTAAAACTATATAATCACAAGAAGGGCAAAAAACGGAAGGATGGAGTGACACCTTCTCGATGTTGTCCATCATTATTCCTTTAACCTCTGTTATTTGAGCCTTCAGTTTAGAAAGCTTGCTCATTTCTTCTGGATGGTTCATGCAGTACTCCATGTGCTCTTTGAGCTTTGGCCTGCACAAAAGAGGAGTACATCAGAATTCAGGAATTTACATACAGAGGATACTTAGAATAATGTTTTGGGAACAAGATGCTGACTATACCCAAATTCTCTATCGAGATTATATGCGATGCTAAACCGGTCCTCAAAGAGATCATCATCTTCATCATCATCAATAAGAGGGTGTGGACCATCACCTTTTATACTAGCACCATAACGCTGCTTGAAGTCATCCTTCACTCTCTCGAGGAAAACAAAAGGCACGTTTCTTCCCAATGATTCATCAGCAACAACAAGAAAAACTGCATAGCCATATGAAATATATATATATAATTTTCCAGTAAACAATCTAAGAGCAACCGGGTAATATTTACAAGCAAGTGAAATCAATAAAAAATACCAAATCCACTGTCAATAAGAAAGTTGAATGTATGCCCGTCACATGAATAAGTATACTTGTTGCTATTAGAAGGCAGCTTCTGCAAACACTGGACGGCAATGGTACTAAAGTTTCCAGAATAGTGTGTATGCTCTGCTAGAACAACAGTCCCTTTTGCAACAAAGCTATAAATCAAGCCTTTGGGATTCATTTCCGTATGAAAACTCCAACGCCAAATCTGATACAAGTACCAATTCAGTACCCTCCTGATTTAACAACGATAAAGTGCTTCAGTAAAATAAGAAAAAAACTCTCAACCACTGAATGAAAAATGAACAAGCTAGTAACTTTAGTGCTGGTTTTGATCAATTTCACTTTGAAGCTTATGTACTTCATAAAGCACAAACTAGGCGAACAGCTAAAAATTCAGAATGCTTTTGAAGGTCGATAGAGGGAAAACCCCTAATTTAGGAAAAGATTCTGATGAAACTAGCATACCCCACTGTGTAAACATTTATTGTCATCGCAAATTCTCATTACTTGAGAATTGAAGAAAAAACAAGAAGATTGATTAAGAACGCAGAAGAATAGATTAACTCAGAACAAAATCTGGTCCAAACTCATATACATACCCAGGCCGTAAAATCTAGAATTCTCAACTACCCCTACAAATTTAGCGCAGTAGAAAAAGCTAACTAGAAACTTCTGTTCGATTAAGATCAGAAATTTCACGAAAACGCAAGATCGCCGTTTACTGCTGAGATCAATCCAGATTATAGATGTCAACGCGAATTCTACCAGAAGCGGAATATTTGTACGAGATCAAAAGCAATTCAGATAGATATAAAAGGTAAATTAATGTAGAGAGAGAGAGAGAACCTTAGATTTGCAGAGACGTAAATTGGTTGGAACAGAGGTTGAAGCTTCGCGAGGAAGAAGAAGTCGCCGGGAAGGTATATTGGACCGTCGTCCGTCAGTCGTAGTGGAGTTGTGAGCTAAATTACGATAACGCCCTCAACAATTCTTTTGAAGAAGGATTTCGATATCTCCAAATATCATAAATCCTGATATGTCTCGAATTTGAGATATATATCAATATGAGAATTTGATATTACTCTTAACCATTGATCATTCTCCGTCACTGGCTACCTTTATCACCGCCTACCACACTCATTGTCCTTCACCCCCACTTATCACTAATTAAATCATCATTTTGAATCTTTCCAAACAACTTCGTTTCAGATTTTAAAACTCATATCATTTCTCCTAAATTTTATAATTCATATTTTATCATATCTCCAAAACTCAATTATAAATATGGGCAAATTCTTCAATGCTCATTTTATAGATTTTTTTAGAATTCATTTTATAACCCTTAATGCATTGATAATGTAAAACAATTGGATTTTTTACACACAAAAAAGACTCATTTGTTACCACATGAAAAGTGTAAGAAGATTCGCATTTCACATGTAGATCTTAGACACACTGAAGAACAACTCTTTAATACGAAGTATGAAGTAATTTAATTTATTATTGAATTTTTTTAGAATAAAATGAACTCTATATATTTAAAAAGCATTATCAATTTTTTTTACAAAACTAAAATGACAATATCACATACCTATTTAATTTGACTATGTTAATATTAATTGTAAATAATAACTTCGAGATTAAGGAATTGTTTGGCAAGTCACGTACGAAATTTGGCTCAGTTTCCTTGTCGCTAGGCAACCGTATCACTCCGATACTCCGTTCATAAAATTGATGGTTCCTACCCTTTGCCTAACATGAACTCATCCTCTATCCCCGTCAATTGGACCACCCAAATTTAGAGTCGGACCTTAAAGTCAACTAAACTTAGGGGACTAATTGACAAGAGTGGAATCGAGTCAGCCTAAAGCAAAGGGTTTTATCAGAGATAAAAACTATCAATTTTACGAATAAATTACCAGAGGTTCTCCAAAAAACCATTGGTACCAAAGTGGCATCGTTACCCAATTGCAAGAGAACCAGACAGTACAAGAATTATGTAAATTTTTGTTATTTTGATTTGAAGAAATTCAAAAACATCCAAGGTTACTATTTACTCCATTCATCACATAAAAAGTTTTGACATTTCCTTTTTTGTACATTCCAAAAAAGAGTTTTACTTTCTCTCTTTTTAGTGGTTGGACCCCTTTGGCAAAATTCGACTAATCCTAATCAGCGGAGTTTGCGAATTCAGGCCAAAAATCTCCCATCAGGTGGTGGGGTTTGAACTCATCAGCTCAAGGTTACCGCAGCTCCGGCACTGCCAACTATGCAACCACCCATTGGTATAACTTTTTTCTCTCGTACATCAATTTCAACCACACAACTTAATCTTTCATAATTGTCATATCAAATCAAACGTGAAACCTCGTAGTAGCATTTTACCGGCTTTCAAACTGTCGTTTTAAGAGAGAGTATCAAAACATCTTTAGTGGGAAAAGCATAAGATACACACATTTTATATCTTAAATGATTCCTACAATGCCACATCACCTAAACAATTCCATAAGCAACGGACTCATATATTTTACTCTAATATATCATTAAAAATACTTTTCTTTGCTAAAATTTAATGGTTGTTACTAAAAAAAATACTTTTTTATGTCTAAGATATGATTGCTTGCAGAAGCAACATACCTTATAAAAAAAACATTTTTAGCTGCCACCTAGAACATCATAAAATATACTCTGTAGTTGCTTAAGTTAAGCACCATCAAAAAGGTGCACTCCATGAAAGAAACATCTATGAGCGTCATGGAACCAACTTCAAATCTTCCCAAAAATGGACCCCTCGCAGCACTATGTTTGGTTCAAGGAATTTCAAATGAAAAAGAAAAGAAAATGAGATTAAAACAGTTTTTCTTGTTTGGTTAGAGAGGAGAAGAAAAAAGTAGGGAAAGAAAAAAAATGGGAAGTCAAAATTTACTGAAAAATAAAATTCTTCCTATTTTGGCGAGAAAAATAGGAGAAAATCATTTTTTTTCTCCCAAATTCCTTGAACCAAACATAGTGTTAGAAACTTAGGAATTCATAATAATTTTAACTGGTTAAAGTTTCTGAAATACACAAACCAAAACCAAAACCAAACCTAGAATATAGGGTATGGGGCAAGATGTACGCAAACTTACCTCTGACCTCAATAAACAGCGAAGCGTAGCACGAGGAATTTGCAAAAGTATTTGAAACACAAAATGTAGCAAAAACCAAAAGACTAACTTCGAGCACAGGGCTTGCATCGTTATAGTGCAAGCACACCATGGATGGGGAGGGAGCCTCAAACTTGTGTTGCACATCTGGGGGTCTTCACATAGTCCGCGTAATCGTTGTAAGACAAAGTGAAGAGTGTGCTCTGGTAGCGAGTTAACCGGATTCCCTTCAATATTGACTCGGTTATGGGGCCTCTGTAGCCCGCTTTTCGCATTAGTGAGACGATTGCTTCATATTGTGTCCACCCTGAGATCGAGCAAAAAAAATAACAATCACACACAAATCTGGATGACAAGAGATTTAATAACAACACAGCATAGGAAGGTTAATGTGCCTTTTTTACTTGGTTCATTATGTGCCCGAAACTAAAACAATGTCAATGGTAACTCTTTTAGCTCCATTAGCAATGGAGAAAAGACAAGAGGTTTGATAAACAGAAGAAAACACAATTACCAATTGCCCCTAACTTGAGTGATTTGTTTCAAGAGCAATATTTGGTGTACACCAAATTCACACTAAAGGCAGAACTCTCAGTTAAACTTGTTTTTTACATGCATGTGTGCGAATTTTGTATATGCAAGTTTCGCATGTAAATTTTGCCTTTGGATTATATTTGGTGTACAAAAACAATTACCCCGATTTGGAACACGGGATATTGTGTGATACATTCAAGAACAAAGATGACAAGAGATTGGTGAACAGGAGAGGAAAAAGCTTTAAGAGCTTATTCTCTTCGTCTCCGGTCTGGTTTTATTAAGGTCTAATTTGATTTGGCCTGGTATGGTCTGGTTGTAGTTATTTCCAAAGTTGTTTTGATCTCATCTGGTCTATTCTGGTCCGATATGGTTCCAATAAAAATAAGTTGAAGAGAACAAGTTCTAAAAGTCACCTTCTTCGGCAGCTACTTCTGGAAGGTATGTGGCACTTCCCTCAAAATTATTATCGCCAACAAATTCAATAGTTATTCCATGCTTACCAACCTAAATATATATAAAAAAGAAAACATTGAAAATTATGCAAACATGATAATAACATTGTAAAATCAGCACCTCTAAGGTTCATAGAGAAAGTAAAAATGAACTCTCTTCTGGCTTGACTTGATAATAACAAGAAATTCTACAGTAGAATCATGACCACATTACCCACAACCGACATAAATATTCAACTAGCATCTGTTCAACGATTCCTCTTTGAAAGCATTGTGTGTGTGCGCGTGACTGTGTGTGTGTCCGAGAGAGAGAGAGAGAGAAGAAAAAGTTAGTCATAAGAGAACAACACAGGAAAGCCACAAAGCAAGCACGCCATAACACCTGGCTAACCATGATAGCCCAAAACACGCTTCTAACTAACTAACCTGGTACCCTAAACACACCGCTAATCACTCATATCTATGTCTTTCCTAGCACTATAGCCCTCTACATTCAAGTGCTCCTGTATACGGTCAGTCGGTCATGCCCTCATTATGATGCAAAAACCTCAAATTCCCTCTAGGCACCTCACTCCAACTCTTCTTGGAATTGTGTTAAAAATAAGAATTATGATATAATAGTGTAATGCACAGTAACAAGGAAATGAAGTGTGTTAATTAATGTAATTGTGTTAAGGAATGATACCTCCCAATCAAGATAGTCGTGTCCATTTTCATAATTAACCAGAACAGAAACAGTACATTCAAGCGTAGGCAATTCTTCAGCCTGTATTGGGGAGAAACGGCGGTCCTTAAGAGCACTGCACCATATAAAAAAAACATTGAGCTACAAAATGATAGTTTGGCACATCAGTAGCTTGATATTATAACTATTTCCTACAAAGAGACAAGAAATAAAGTGAAGGGGGAAAGGAGCAAACTACATTGATACTAACCTGCTGATAGAGTGATAGATTAATAACATGAAAAGCACTAGATTGTCAATTGGAGTTTGAAGTCACAACTCAAAAGTAGCATACACTATACACAGTAGAATTTCCAACTTTCTAAAGACTTAAGGGATATCTGGTAGTATAAGTGTTTTCACATTTAACCACTTAGAGAGCTTTTTAATTGTTAAGATTTCAAAATTAATATTTAAAAATACGTTTTAAAGATGACTTTCTACTCTTTTAGTAGCATGAGGGCGGGTGGCATAGGGTGGGGGTGTTGGCGCGGAGTAGAGGGGGGAAGGACTAGGG